CTGAACCTCATCAGATTTCTTGTGGCCCCCATGAGCAGTGGCTGTATTTTCCATGCCAGGTCTTAAATTGGCACAAATTATGTCACTCCTCGGGTGGCTAATTCACACCCCTGAGCAACATAATTGACTTTGACTTGAGCTGGAGTGTGGCCATCACCTGAGGGTGTCTGCAGGCTGCTGTGAGGGGCTTTCAAGGTTGCTTCTGTGTTTTTCACAGGCTGTTTTTAATGTCTCCAGGAGCCACGCATGGGTTTCGGGGCAGCAGGAAATCCTGCATGTCATGATCTTGCATCATTCCTCCTCCACATTTGTTTTGCACTCAGCACAATGGGGCAATGATCTGGATTGGAGGACCCTGCACGTTACTAGAATCATAGAATACTAGGACTGGAAGGGACCTAGAGAGGTCATCGAGTCCAGTCCCCTGCCCTCATGGCAGGACCAAATACTGTCTAGACCATCCCTGATAGACATTTATCTAACCTGCTCTTAAATATCTCCAGATATGGGGATTCCACAACCTCCCTGGGCAATTTATTCCAGTGTTTAACAACCCTGACTGTTAGGAACTTTTCCCTAATGTCCAACCTAAACCTCCCTTGCTGCAGTTTAAGCCCATTGCTTCTTGTTCTATCCTCAGAGGCCAAGGAGAACAAGTTTTCTCCCTCCTCCTTATGACACCCTTTGAGATACCTGAAAATGGCTCTCATGTCCCCCCTCAGTCTTCTCTTTTTTAAACTAAACAAACCTAGTTCTTTCAGTCTTCCCTCATAGCTCATGTTCTCTAGACCTTTCATCATTCTTGTTGCTCTTCTCTGGACCCTCTCCAATTTCTCCACATCCTTCTTGAAATGCGATGCCCAGATCTGGACACAGTGCTCCAGTTGAGGCCTATTATACATGCTAAATACAAACAGTGATCAATTCAGGTTCCTGGGGAAACTAAACATGCAGCATCTAGCCCCCTGTTCAGCACAGGTTTGTAAGTGCTTTATGGGAGCGGGAAGTATTTAAGCATGTGCTGAATGGGAGCCTAAATGCCGATACCAGAGCCAGAGCCAGACGCAGCAGCACAATGGTACTGTGACCACGCCTGCCTGTCAGTGGCATATTAAGGCTGGATCATAAGATCTGGCTGGTCTTTGACCTGTTCTCCCAACAGTACCAGACTCACATGGGGGCAGGCTGGGGACCAGTGTTCCCTGTAAGCTGAGCACGTAGGCGGCCACCCAGAAGAGATTCACATGCCTCCCAGCTGATTAGTAGAGCACCCACCGCCTCCCACAGCCGGCAGCATATGTTTCCGTTGGTGGTGCACATCTGCACATACCTTGGTGCATATAACAAAATTTGTTCTGCGCATGGATGGAAAAAATTAGGGGGGACATTGCTGGGGAATATCCCAGTCTCACAACCAGTTATTGATCAGTCTGGATCTTGTCTATTCTCCATCTGTTCTTGCTCTTATACCCACAAGGGGGTGTGATGGAAAGAGAGTTGAGTCCCTTTTCAAAATGGAGAGAGAGAATCTTGTGATATAAATAAGTAACGCAGGACTTTGGACAACATGTTTCTTAAATTGTTCTGCTGCGAGTTCAAGAAGGTGACCCTGGAAAAGCTGAACTCATATAATTTCAAGTGTAACATGTCATTGTATCACAATTGAGCAGCATTCCTGGTATTAAAAGTCCGCTCCAGAAATGCTCTATGGTTCCTGCATTACAAAAGCCTGCCTGTGAAAAACTACCCGAATGTGAAAACGTGAGACAAAAGTATTTCAGCTTGTGGCATATACATAGCATAGAAAACAAGTAAAAAGTAGCTTTGGTCACTCCTAAGCTTTCAAAGACTAAGGGCTGCATTTGGATGTGCATATGTTGTTGTTCTCATTATTTATAATACTCCAGCTCCGAAAATCCTAGTGAGGGTTGCAGCCTCATTGTGAGAGGTGCTGTACAAATTCATGACCTCTCGAGGTCCCTTCCAGTCCTAGTATTCTATGATTAGTAGCTACAGTCCTTGCCCTAAAGACCTTTCGGTCTAGGGCTTAACTTTGTGTGTATACCAATGCCAACTTTTGCAATTTGATTTTCAGTCTTGCCCCAGCTTCTGGAACATGTGACTACGTGAGACTCTCAGCTTTCATTTAAAAAAAAATAAGTTTCATGGTTGCAAAGAAAAGCTTGAAAACAGAACCTGAGCGTACCTTGAAGGTTCAAAAACAGAAAGCAAATTTAAAAAAAAAGACTTTGTTTAAAAACTGGGCATGATTTTAAGCCAATCTCAGTTTTGTTTTTTTCATCTCTTGGTGGTAGCCATATGAGTAATTCCATGAAATCTTTGACACTACTCAGGGCAATTATACCCTACAAATTTAAATCAACCTAAATTACATCTGAGTATCGCCACCAGAGAAATTAAATCGCTTCTGCGTGTCCACACTATGCTCCTTGTGACCTCACTGGCACCGTTTTAACTGTCCTTGTGGGATGGCTTCTGAGAGGCAGCCACAGTCAACGTACATCAGAATGGCCAGACTGGGTCAGACCAAAAGCCCATCTAGCCCGGTGTCCTGTCTGCTGACAGTGATCAATTCCAGGAGCCCAGAGGGAGTGAACAGAACAGGAAATCCACAAGTGATCCCTCCCCGGTCACCCATTCCGAGCCTCTGACAAACAGAGGCTAGGGCGGGGTGAGCAATAATTTTTGCCCTGGTGGCCACCCCAGAAAGTAAACAGGAAGGGGTGGAGCCTAAATGGGAAGGGGCGGGGCTACCCCACCCCCAGACTATGATTGGTCTGGGGGTGGGGGAGCCTCTTTGCCCCCCCTTCCCACTAGGCACCCATGCCCTGGAAGAGGCTTGGCATGTTCCCCAGCCCCCAGGCGGGGGAGCGCCGGAAGCCTCCTACCGCGCTGCTCGCAGGGAGGGGGGCAGAGCGGAGAAGGCTTCAGGCGCTCCCCTGCCCGCAGGCCTTAATTGTCCTGGGGGCAGAGGAGCAGTAAGGCCTTCACGGGCCGGATCCACCCGCTTGCTGGGCCGGATTCAGCCTGGGGAGGCCCTTTTGCCCACCCCTGGGGTAGGGACACCGTTCCTACCCATCCTGGCCCATAGCCATTGATGGACCTAACCTCCATGAATGTATCTAGTTCTTTTTTGAACCTTGTTAAAGTCCTGGTCTTCACGATGTCATAAACAACAGTGTCTGCATTGCTGCTGCATTGATCTAATACATCGACCTAAGCACTACGCCTCTTGCGGAGGTGGAGCTATTAATTCCGTGTAGTGGGCAAGTGACGTCTGTGAACATTTGCAGAGTTTAAGTTGATCTAAGTATGTTGTGCAGACCAGGCCTCACACACACACAGGTACACTGGTGTAAGGGTTACCAACACTTCAGGATTGGCCTGAAGTCTCCCAGAATGTGTATCTATCTCCCAGTGACTATCGAAAGCAACCTGGGAGATTTGAATAGGGTATGTTAAGAAAATGACGTTATATCATGTTGGGGAAAGTCTCCCAGAATAGCGTCTGTCGGAGCTGGCAACCCTATGTGGTGGGTGTTTGCAAGATCTGGGACGTAAGGGAGATAAGGCCCAATCTACACTGCAGGGCTTAACTCCAGATAAGCTACGCAAATTGAGCTATGTCAATTGCATAGCATATTTCGAAATAGGGAGCATTTACACAGCACTTATTTCGAAACAGAGCACTCTTCCTCCGACTTCCCTTACTCCTCGTACAATGAGGGTTACAGGAGTCGGAGTAAGAAGTTCTCCAGCTTGACAGTATTTTGACACTATTTCAAAATAACTGCCTGCTGTGTAGACGCCGACTAAAAGTTATTTCAGAATAGCACTAGTTATTTCAAAATAGTGTGGCAGTGTAGACGTACCCTTGGGCTATGTTTAGACTGCCCTCTCTTGCGCAAAAAAAATGCAAATGAGGTGAAGCGAGAAATATCGCCACGCCTCATTTGCATGCTTAATAAGGCTCTGTTTTTGCGCAAGAGGCTTTACGCAAAAAAACCACCTCTTGCACAAGAGCCGTTCTTCCTCTTTTTTTCAGGAAGAATGGCTCTTGCGCAAAAGCCTCTTGCGCAAAAACGTAGCCTCATTAATTATTCAGATGATGCACGGCGATATTCCACACTTCGCCTCATTTGCACGTTTTCTCCCGCAAGAAGGGGCAGTCTAGACATAGCCTAGGTGAATAGACCAAGCAATAGGAGAGGAAGGAATTACTGTTTCCTCATATGAGCTAACAGTTTACAATACTTGATCTTTACAAATAATTTACTTGCTTTTTTATTTAATTGTCATTTAAAACGTTCCTATCAAACCATAACATACCTCTCTTCTGTCTCCTAGAAATAGTGAACCCTGTGGCTCATGAACTGTTTTGATAGGATCTTATTGAGCTGCTTTTGAATTGTTTCCCCCCCCCCCCCTTTTCTATAGAAGTTAAGAATGGCCACGCTAGGTGAGACCAATGCTCCCTCTAGCCCAGTATCCCTTCTTCTCTCAGTGGCTGGCACCAGCAGCTTCAGAGGAAATAAACAGAACAGAGCCGTTGTGGAGTGATCCATCCCCCTTGTCTGGTCCCAGCACCTGGCAGTCTGAAACTCTCCAGACTTTTTACAGCGCCCTTCAAGCTGGCATGATTAGCGTCTTTTTCCCCCCTCTTCTCTCTGATGGTAGTTTGTCCTTGGGGTGCCTGCCCACCATTGGAGCTGTCCTGGCTGCTGCTGTCCAAGGTTGGGTCCTTGCAGATGCTGGGTGTAAGAGAGTAGAAAGTCTGGATCAGTGGTCTATGCCTCAGTTTCCCTACTGTAAAAAGGAGATAAAAGATGTGTGTCTTTGTGATCACTGGATGAAAGGAGCTATGTCAGCACAGAATCCATGCGTCCTTCTTTGTGAGACCTCCATGTAATCCAGAGACCTCTCTGAATAACCAGGAGGAAACTAATGTTACTTTCTGTTCCCTGCTAACCTTCCTGCAGGTATGAGGCATGTAAAAGCGACCTCACCTGTGTCCACAACTGGCTGACAGATTGGGAATGGGATGAAAATGGAGAGAACCACTGTAAGAACGAATGCATCTCCTACGATAAGGTGAGAGAGATCCTACTATAAATATGAGAATTAGGAGACAGGGAGCGCTACTTCCTGTGGGATTAACCATCGTAAAAGTCGTGGGGGAACAAAGTTCAACAGGTAAATTGGCTTGGACTTCAACCATTCCAGGTTTTGTCTCTACCAGACTTCTTCTTTTTTGTAATTTCTCACCATGGGTGAGGTAGAATTGCAAGGAGGAGACTAGGTTATGGTGCCACTGATGTTCTAACCATCGCATTGTCTAGATCAGAGGCACCTTATAGACTAACTGAAGTGTAGGAGCATAAGCTTTCGTGGGCAAAGACCCACTTCGTCAGATGCATGCATCTGACGAAGTGGGTCTTTGCCCACGAAAGCTTATGCTCCTACACTTCAGTTAGGCTCTAAGGTGCCACAGGACTCCTCACCGCTTTTGCAGATTCAGACTAACACGGCTACCCCTCTGATAATTGTCTAGATCAGTGTTTCTCAACCAGTGGTACAAGTCCCCTCAGCGGTACTTAAGAGAAGTCTGAGGGTTACGTCAACACAACTGAAATTTGGAGAAAACTGAATTTTTGTTTTAAGTTTTATGGCGTTTTATTATTTTTGTACATTTTACATCCAAAAATGCCATTGCCCACCCAGCTATGATTAAGTTGCTTAAACAAATGTGTTGCAATGGTAGAAAAAAGTTTTGTGTCACTGAAAACTGTAGGTACTGGGGGTACTTACAATTTATTTATTTTTTAAAAGGGGGTACTGGTCTAGATCAGTGGCTCTCACCCTTTCCAAACTACTGTGCCCCTTTCAGGAGTTTGATTTGTCTTGTGTTGGGGATGTTAATTTGGGTTTAAAAAGTGAAGAGGTTAAGCAGCCCCTCGTCCAGCCAATGGGAGCTGCAGGAAGCAGTGTCCCAGTCTGTACCGCTTCCTGCAGCTCCCATTGACTGGTAACAGCGATTCATAGCCAATGGGAGCTGCGAACAGTCGTACCTGTGAGTGCACAGGTAAATAAAGCATCTAATGGCCCACCAGGAGCTACTCAGCCACTTATTGCCCACCCCTGGAATAGCACCCCCAGAAAATTGGCTCTAAGCTCCCTTCTGAGAATTAAATCTGGTTCCTGCTCATTTTCTGTCCCTGTTCTGGCGATCAGCAGAAATCTTTTCTCCCCTTTCACTGGCCCTAAATTCACTTTTTTAAAGAAAATATAACCCACCTGCAGGGAAGACCAGGCAGCAAATCCAGACGCCTTATCAGCTCAAACCCGACATTGCAATTTGTAAGTCGAACGCACAACTGCCCCCCCTTGCTGGCCGGGTTATCCCCAAATATGGCTCGTGATGATTCGAAAGAGAGTCAGGAAGAGGCTTCTCCAAAGGAAGCTCTCTGCTGCTCCTCTTTCATTTCCATGGCAGGAATCATTTCATTTGATGCTAAAAGCTGCAAGAATATGCTCGAGACAAGGCAGGTGAGACGTAAATATTTTTTATTGAACCAGCTTCTGTTGGAGAGCTCTTGTCTGACCTCCCCTGCCTTCTCTCTCCAATATACGGGGACTCCAGCTTAACAGATTCAAGTGCCATCTGTCCCAGCTGATGGAGCAGCTTTGGGGATATCAAACACGAGGGGCAAGTTAAATCCATTTCTTACTGGTATTGGGGGGCACCAGCTAAGGGGAGCAAGTGACCTCGCCACGGGACCCCCCATGTAACTCCCCCTCCGTTACATGCTGCGGGCTCTATGGCATAAAGCTTATACTGCAGAGCCCGCAGCGCAGCCGGCTCCCGGGACCGGATGCGGCTGGCCCCACTCCCACAGTGCCAACTGCTGCCTCTGATACAGAGCGAGCAGTGTGGGGTGGCAGCCGGCTCCCTAGGAGCGGGGCCAGGAGCCTGCCTGTAAGACTTAATGGTACCCAGTAAGCCCATGCTTATCAGTTAACCATTGAAACGGTTATACTGTGACATCCCTACTCCTCACTGTCCTACCCCCAGCCCAGGCCCCGTGTTCCCCATCCCTTCCCCATGGTCCTTCCTGGGTAGCTTGGCGGGGAGCATCCTCTGTGCTCCTGCTGGGCTGGACACTTTGGAGCAGGGCTCTCCCGGGAACCACAGCAGGGAAAAGAGAGCCCGTAGCCCTGCCCCCGTCCTTCTCGGAGCTGTGTCTCCTCCGCCTGTGTATCCAGCAATGGCAGGAGGACGGAGGTAGGGAGGCGAATCTGGGGGCGTATGTACCGCTGAGTGCCAGGGGAGCTGCCAGCCTTCTGCTCCTTTCCCAGCTGCCTCTCCCAGCGGGAGAAGGGGCAGAAGACTCCCCCCCCCAGCTCCGCCCCCAGCCTGCCCCTCCTCTCCAGCAGGATTACAGCTGTATCTTTCTGGTACACCGTTCTGGCCATGACTAGCTTACTGATACAGTGTATATGCCTGTACCGCCGGAAAACACTGGCTTACTGATAAAACACACGCAAACATGGATGTTCAGGCAAATGCGACCTAGATGACAAGTGAAGCTCAAAAGATTCTAGAGTTCATTTCCATTGTGATCAGCATGCTAAAGTGCAGGTGTGGACTGGGAGCTTTTCTGACTGGTCCGTACTCACGGGCTGCTCAGAATTGGACTGGAAATCTCAGGAGAAGAGGCTCTCTCATTGGGCTGCTCCAGGAACAGTTTTTGGTACTTCAGCAATTCAGCCCTAGATGAATGCAGGCAATGGAGGAGAATTGGGTGGCTAATTAGCGCAGTCTGTGTTTTTTAATGGACAAGTTTGGGACTAAGTCATAGGGGAAGAGTCAGGTTGATTATTTTATCCAGACCAGTTCTCCATCTGATTTAAAATGTCTCTCAAAACATGCAGTTCGGTTCTTTTCCCTTTCTCTGCCAGACACCTTGCTCAGATAACTTCCCATTCAAGTTTAAATGAAACCGTGACCCATTCTGGTCCAGCTGCAGCAGTACCCCCACTGTAGCCCCTCTTAGCTAGGAGATTTAAGGTTGCTTTAGCCCAATCTGTGTGTGTGTGAGTGTGTGTGTGTGTGTGTGAGAGTGTGTGTGTGTGCGTGCATGCACATGCATGTGCACAATTTATTACAATTTTAATGAAATGGCAAGAAAGACGCATGATAATGGTTATTCCGGCTTTTGGTTAAAGAACAAAGTGAATCATCTAATTAACTGATAGATTTGAAGAGACTTTTTCTATGTTCGACAAACATGGGAGGAGCCGAGGAGTGGAAATTTAAACTGTCATATAAAAATACACTAAGTTCAAAAGTTCAGGGATCTAATTCTCGATGGCCTAGACCTGCTGTGCTCATCAACAGTGGTAGAAAATGGGTGTATCATGCTACACCATCACAACAGTTATGCTTTACGCTTGTATTTACAAGGTGCAAGGCCCGTTATGTTTAATAACAGCCTCTGCCCGATAGAATTATCATGTCATCTCTCTCTCTCTCTTCCTCCTGTTCCTGAGCACGTTAACACAGTAAATCGTTCAAACTCTTGGTATTTGGTCTGTTTACATGGGGACAGCCAGCACCCCTCAAAGCCGTGTGCAGCCCATTTTAAAGAACATGCTTCCCGGGTTAAAATGAAACGCTGAAAAAGTCAGATTTGGTTTGCGTGTGGAGCGAGTGAAGTGCTGATCTCCACAAGGCAGAGTTCCCCATGGCAGTGCAGACAGATGCTTTATTTCCTCCAGTGCCCTTAATCCATATGGGGAAGCAATCAGCAGCCAGGCATTTGGCATAGGAATAGCGGGAAGGAGTATTTAGAACTCACGCTGCAGATCGAAAATGCAGAGTGGAGCCCTGCCGGTTTTACACAGGCTATCTGGAAATGTATGAGCCATGTTCTGTCACTGTTCCGCATGCCCAACACTCACCAAAAGGAGCTTAGAGCAAAGACCACAAGTAGAATATAGCCCCAGGCATGGAGAGGTTAAAAGCCTAGGTCAGGGTGAGGACTGGTAGGCTCTGTCAGCGCTTGTGCACTACAGTGTACTGCATATCCTGCAGCAACAGCAGCAAGATCTGAATTGCATCAGTAGGCAAGCGTGAATGAGCGAGCCAGGGTCTGTTGGGCACAGGGTCCAATCTAGCAATGTCCCTTTCACAAGGGAATACAGCAGGGGTGGGCAAGATACGGCCCGTGGGCTGGATACAGCCTGCCAAGCCATTTGATCCGGCCTGCGGCCCCCCCTGCCGCACCCTCAGC